TTATTTTTGAGGGGGGGGTCCTTAATGAGGTCTTTAATGATGTTCTTTCTCCTGGGCAGCGCTGGCCTCATTAAGGTCCCCCTTTGTCTTCCTGCCACTTCTTAAAAAATAGTTCTTTGGCTTCAAAAACAGGGGGGGCAGGAAGATAGGGGAGGGTCAGAGGTTGTTGGGGTGCCATAGCCTCCATCACCGCTCCCCTTCCTTGGTAGAGAAGGGCTCCCAGGTATTCAGAAGTTTTAGAAATATATATCTATCTCTCTCAGGAACCCTTATTTCCTCTAAGATGTATGTAAAGCACCTCTTTCCCCCCCCTCCCCAAAACATAACTTTAGCCATTTTCTTTATTAGCACTTTTTTTCCATAGTTGAAACCATATAGGCAGAAAGTACTGGTAAAAATAAACAGCTTAAGGTTGTATGTCTGGGGAAAAAAAAAAAAAAAAAGGATAAAAAAGGCAAAAAGAGTGAGGTTTGCTGCCTCAACACCCCCCCCAGGAAGCAGGGGGGGCAGGTGAGCAGTGCAGGGAGCTGCTTTTCCGCATTAGCCTTTGTCTCTGCGGAGGTTTGTTTTCTGTGTGATGCAGGGTTGGGTTGGTAAGTAAGCTCTTTTATTGAAAAATTAAGTTAAATTCCACCTTTTCTTGCCTTTTCCCCGCCACCAAGTAAGTCCTGAGATCGGCTGCGGGGGTGGGGGGTATGTTTGACATGTGTGTACAAACCAAGCAGAGTTCTCCCCCCTTTGTAATGACCTCACCACTGTGAACGTTTAAAGGACAAAAAAAAAAAAAAAGTCACAAAAGCACACAGTTTACTCCCAAAAATCTGCCTGTTGTGACGTTCCCAGGTGAAACTGAAACTCTAGATGTAGGATGTGGATCCATTGCTTTGTCTGCAAACTCCATCCTCATTCCATTGCCGTGAGTGGAAACCGGCTGCCCCTGGGTAGAAAAAAAAAACCCCAACGTTTAAAACCAAAAAAATCCAACTTTTAAACCACTCCAAAGTGTGTCAAAAAAAAAAAAAAGGTGGCAAATAACCCAACACCGTTTCCCAAATGTCATCACACATTTCCCCCCCCCATCCCCATGTTCAGCCTCATGTTGGATAATTAGAGGAATTAAAGTACAGTGCAAGCACCCAGTTTGTAAAGAAGCAGCTTGTTAGCAGCCTCCCCTTTTCCTCCCACCCCCCCTTTTTAATTTTCCTTTGTCCCTCAGGTGCGTTAATGAAAAGGTTTTTCCTCACACCACTTCCCACCGTCCCACTCCGAAGCCAGAACACTCACAGTCATGGGTATTTCTTTTCCCCCTTTTCCCCAGCCAATTAATTTAATTTCTTGGTTTAGTGGTGGTTTGTTGTTTTGGTTTTTTTTGGTTTTTTGTTTTTTTCCTGGAAGCCAAAACCATGGGCTTTTTGCCCCTTTTTGTCCAGTTTACATTGTTCTCAGGTGGAAAAAAAACCAACCCAAAACCAGTGTTTCCTCTAAGCACACCAATACAGTTGGGTGAAATTGTGGTTTAGTTCCCTCTTGTCTTCACGAAAAAAGAAAAGAAAAAGGTATTTCCATCGGCTTAAACTGTAAAATAATGCAAGCAGTTGTTATAGCAAATTAGGCAGCTTTTTGTTCCAGATTTAATTGTGTTCCAGAAAGGAGTTTTCACATAAAACAATATCCAGTAATGTCTTATATGCCTTTTTTTGTCGCTGTTTTTAACTGTTTAGGACAGAACTCTAGTCCCTGTACCTTCCCTGGCTTCAATTTGCCACAAAATCCTAAAATGGGGTATATATTGATATTTCCTTCCCCCACCTTCAAGCAGAGATCCAGAGAACTTGAAAATGTTACTGGTCTGGCTGGAATGGTTTAATTGGGAGAGAGCAGGACCTCCCAGCATGAGTCCCTTCCTCCCCCTCCCCCCATGTATTCAATTAATAACTTTCTTCACTTATTTTATTAAATATACAGATGTTTTAGGCTTCATACTTCCCCACCTTGATCTGGGAAAATCCAAACTGGGTTTTTGAGGAAGGACCAGGAATTGTTTGAGGGTCAGGAGTTCTCAGGGGTCATCCTGAAGTTTACTGGAGTTGTTGACTGGTTCCATAAAGCAAGTAGTGTATTTTTAGATATAAATATATATATATATATATATATATATATTAGCAGTAGGACTCAAACTTCTCATCTGGGGCTTTTCTTTGTGCTTTGCTTCCCCTGCCCCATTTTTAATGGGGCTCAACCCCTTTTTACTGGTCATGATTTGTGAGAAATTACCTTTTTAATGGTGCAAACACCCATTTATACCCTGGAAAATCCTTTTTTTTGTTTGTTTTTACAGAGATAGGTGGTTTTTTGTTTCTAAGGGCGCAATTGTTCAGCCTAGGCTCCCGGGATTGAGTGAGGCTTTGTTGTCCTGGGTTAAAGGAAAGGCCAAAGCAAATCCCAGACCCCGATTCCTTTTTTTTTATTTATTATTTTAATTTATTTCCAGGCCGTATCCCAGCATCAGCTGGGCCCCAGCAGCCCTCGGCCTTCGGATATCACCGAAGGATATGGATAAGGGGAACCTGGGAGCAGAGAGGAGGTTCAGAGTTAGCAGCCAAGTCCCCCAAAATCCCAGTTTTGGCTCAGATAATGCTTGGAAGTTTCCCTTAGTGGAAACATCACTTAAAAACATGGATTTTGGGGTTGTCAGGAGGAGGATTTGCCCCTTTACAACCAGCCCAAAGGGCTCTCTCTCCAAGCCCTTTATAAATCGGTACAAGATATTTGTTACCATAATTAAAATTAAAAAACCCAAACCCAACTCTATAGAAAAGAGAAAAAAGCTGCTAAATGTTAATGACTTCTGCCCCAGTCTGCCCAGTTTGAATGAGGCCCCACTGCCTTCAAAGTGCTGCTTCTTTTATTCCTTGATTGATGTATTTCCCCATGGTTTGCACTCAGAATGAAACAGAAGGCAGCCACACCAACGGGCTAGAGGAGAGCTGAGTTCCTTTGGGATTATTCTGGAATAATCAGGGGATTTGGTTAAAAAAAAAAAAAAAAAAATCGAATTTTCACTGAATTAATTGATTAATCAGGTGCAATGTTGGGGGCGGATCCGTTTCCTCTGAGCAGGAAACTTCTGCCGAAGCATTAAAAAAGTGCGATCAATAACCTTTAGAGGTAACTCTACAAAGTGGTGTTTTCACTAAAAAACCTTAAAATGCAGAAAGTGAGCGAAAATTACACGTCCATCCCCAAAAGAACTGAATTTTGCTTAAAAGTAGGGCCATTTTGGACACAGGGAGGGCTTTGGGTTTAAATCCTGCTTTGAAGTAGGTTGTGGAAAGTTACTTTTTGCCAGGATTTTCCGCCCTCACCAAAAGAAACAACACCCCCCCACCTTGAGTTTAGCAGTGGGTTTGGGATGAATTTTCAGTTTTTATTTGGTTTTATTGTGTTTAGAATTTGAATCTGGCGTCTGATTGTCCGTCCCCACAGAGCACATCGTCAAATCCATCAGAAAAACGTGAAAAATCAATTTCAAAACTCTCTTGGTTGCTGAGTTTGGGGCAGGAGGTGCTGACCCTAAAGATCCCCACGTGTGTGTGCAGCTCAGGGCCCCACCAAGCTTAAAATTACCTAAAATCCAGGAAAATTAGACGTGAACATTCATTTATTGTGAGATTAAATTGCACAAATTTGCAGCTTGATCTTCCAACCCTTCCTGAGGAAAAAAAAGGCATTTTCACCCCCCTTTCGTTGTATTTTTAATTCTTTTTTTTTGCATTTTTTTCAAAGTTAAACCCATTTCTACCTTTGTACACGAACCCCCTCCTGGCAGCCCTGGAGCCACTCCGGCAAAACCAGCGATTTCACGCTCAGCTGCACCCCTTGTATAAAAAAAAAAGCCATAGAAAAGAAGGTTTTTTCCTATTTATTCTATGTTTTTTTTTATAGTGGTATTGTCTAGAAGTTACTCCGCTGTATATCGAGCACGCAAAGCTCTTTCTTTTCTTAAAACAGTAGGGGGTTTAAGTTGGTTTTTTTTAAGTTTAGCTTAGTTTTTTTTAGTAAAAAACCACTTGTTTTTTTCCAAGGATGGGAAGCAAGAGGCTTATTTTTGCCGGGGTTTCTTTCAGGTGTAACGAGGAAGGAGCAATAATATCTTTAATAGAGTTAGGAGGCTGGAAATGCTTATAAGTCCACTGTTTAGGCCACTTATTTGTCACTTCACTACTTTCATTACCAAATTTAACAAAGCTCTGGCTGTATAAAGTGAGATCATTTATTTTAAGGTAATATTTTCATTCTCCTGCTCTTCTTCCGTGGCTGAAACAGCCAAAAACCCCCCTGAATTTTCTCCTCCTTGCAGCAATTCCTATTTTTTCCCCCAGCAAAACCACTGGGATAATGATTGGAAAGGGGTTTTCCCCTTTTTTCCAGGCATTGCCCCCGTCCATCCTGGCCCCAGTGATGTCACAAAAGCTGCTGGGGACCGTGCTGTGCCATTCCTGGCCCCGTCACTCGGAGGAGCAGGGAGCAATAGGAAAAAGCAGGGATTCAGGGAAGAAATTTCCCCCCTGATTGGAGAAATAACCATTAATTGTTTCACAGCCCTGGCTTCCTCACCCGACCACAGGCATTCTCCACGGTGAGCCTCAAAAAACACACAAATTCACTTTATTCCCTTGAATTTTGTTCCCATCCCACCTTGGAAATCGTTGAGTTGCTTTCCAATGTCCTTTCCAGTCACCGTATTTCCAATTATTCCCCATTTCTTGCCTTGAAAACCCCATTGTGGGGAAGAACGTGGCTAATCCTCGCCTCCCGCTTTTCCCAGTGTTTTCCCAACCTCTCCAAGAGGTTGCTGTATCGTTTCGGGCCCAAAACTACACAAATTGGGTAGAAATTGAGTTAAAACCCATCAGGAGAGATGATATTGCCCATCTTAAGGCATAGTTTGGTATGTAAGAATCTGTATAAACATGATTTTTAGATTTTCTTCCTTTAGGAGATATGTGTGTTGATGAATTAATTAATATTAATCCACTAAACAGCTCAACGATGGTTTTGATGGTTCAGCCTCGTCCCATTTCTTCTTCTTTTTCAAAGAATTGTTTCAGCGGCTGCAAAATTTCTTTTTGGGAGCCTTTTTTTGGGCTTCATTTCTGTAACCACAGAAAATTTAACACCATGATTGTCCATCCAGACACTGCTCCGGGGGCTCTGGTCTGCTCTCGAGCTTGATATTGGACCAGAGCAACTCCAGGCAGGGTAAAAACGCCTGTGCAGGGTAATTAAAATTGCAATTAAGGTGTTAATGACACGCATTGGTCCCTCTCTGAAGAAGCTGGGGAGCGATTGCTGTCCCCAGCCAAAAGGGTAAATGAGGCTGATTCCCAGGGAGCGATGCCCAAGGGAATAGCTGGGGTTTTTTTTTGCAAAAATATATGGTATGAGAGTATTTCTGGTGTTTATTTAGAGCGATAAATTGATTTTTGGCTCATTATTTCCTACCCCTGTGCCTGGGGGGAGCTCAGTGTTTCACTGGGCCGTGCTCGCCCATCCGCTGGATCCAAAAACCTTCGGGTATTTTGAGTTTGAAACCCATTTATCAATGAATCTGTCCCTTTAGGGCTTTGACAAGACTTTTATTTAAATATTTAAAGACGCGGGGATTTCAATTCCTTGAACCTTGTTTTATTCCCATTTTTTGAGTTTCTCTTGTTCCCGGCCTGATCCCACCGGACACAAACACCCAAAGGACGCTGCGTTTTGGCTCAAAAAATATTTTCCACAGCTTCTCACCTTTAAAACTTGTACAAATGCCGAGGAATTCCAAGTGGGGTTTAAGAGCTTCCGGAGTAATGCTTCATTTTGGTGCTGGCCTGTTATTAAAATGGTCCAAAATCAAACAAAAATAAGAGGGAGCTTTGCATGGGGGTCGGGCCGAGTGGCTGGATCCCAGCGTTTGCTCCCCAGGATGCTCCCAGGGATGGGTTTTCTATGTGTTTGTGGAAATAATTCAGGTTTTTGTGTAATTAACAGGTCGGCTTGTTCACACAGCATTGTTTAGTTGTTCCTAAACCCATTTTCAGCTCCCAGAGCTCCCTGAGAGCATCCTTTCTCAAAAAAGGGGATTTATAGCAGCCAAAAAAGCCTCCAAAATACCCCAAGCAGAGGGATATGGATCAAAGATCCACCTCCTATAAGCTCCCAAATTGTGAGTAGGACTGAAATACCTAAACAAGCCATCATTAGTGTTTTTAATTCTAGCTTAATGAAAAGGGAGAGGACCCTGCTCAGGGTTTAAATCCCGCAGCACCAACCTGTTGGGAGGGAAGGAAAAGGGGAGGGAGTGGGTTGCACTGGTGCCTCCTTCCACCTTTAACCCGTTACGAGGCTGTAAAAGGTTTCTTCTAACCCGGATGGGAGGGATTTTTAATTTCATTTAATTAAGCAGAGCTCGGGGAATCCGCTGGAGGAGGTTTCGGGTTTGCTTTATTACCTTCATTAACCCCAGTTGGGGGAAAACGGGAGAAAAGTGGAAATAATTGGGCCCATCGTCTGTAGATTGTGCAAACCCACGGGATATTTACTTATTCTGCTCTTCTAAGGACGGATTGTTTTATGAAATCCCCAATTTCGGTTCTTGGGGCGGACCCAGTGTTTTATTAAATCACCAATTCCCATTCTTGGGAGTTCATTTTGCCCCAATATCCTCTGAAAATCGAGCGTGGTGATGTCGTGGCTCCTGTTTGTTGACGAGAGGTTTCTTTGCTGTGTTTAATTCTGGGGCTGAGCAGAGATGAACAGAATTGATACTTGGGGTCAGATATTTAAAACCCCGATAACTAGGAATTTGGGTGCACTTTGGGAGCCAAGTTCCTGGCTGGTGGAGCAGGAAAAGAGGAATTTTCCTTTTTTTTTTTTTTTTTTGGAATAAGGGGAATTAAATGTTCTTGTCTGCTTTTTACAGGGAGGATGGAGAACTGGAGGAAGGGGAGCTGGAGGATGATGGAGGGGAGGAGACGCAGGATCCCTCCGAATCCCGTGAAAGGAGTCGGAAGGAGAAAGGGGAGAAGCATCACAGCGATTCCGACGAGGAGAAAACCCATCGGCGGATGAAGCGCAAGCGTCGGAAAGAGCGAGAGAAAGAGAAGAGGAGATCCAAGAAGAAAAGGAAATCCAAACACAAGGTGAGCTGTGTGCTGCTTTTGCCACCTTCCTCTGCCATCGGGAATTAATTCCTCCTCTAACGTTATTCTGGGGAGTTTGAGACTCTTCCCTCAACGATAATTCAAGGTGGGAGCTCTCATGGGGTTTCTTGGGGGTCACCCAGGTCTGGAGGTGGGATGAAAACACTCCAGCAGATGGAAATGCAGAGCAGGAAGAAAAGCAGAGGTTTTATTTAGGGAATTCCTACCTCCGAGGGGATTGGGGCTGCCAGATTGGCCAAATCCAGGATGTTTGGTACCGAAACTGCAGGAATTTCTCCAGCACAGAAAGCGTATGGTCTTTGTCTTCGTTAGAGACCAGTTAAATAATCTGTTAATGGGCTCCCAGTTCGTAATTCACTGAACGCTGCGATAATTTTGTTAAAGAAAAACTGAAATTTCCTTAAAATAAGACCTAAAAGACAAAAGGGGGAACACAACTTGGTTGTGTTGTGTCCGGGTCGGAGCTGGCCCGTGATGAAGTGACTCCTGGTGTTTCCCTTTGCCAGCGCCACGCTTCCTCCAGCGATGATTTCTCCGACTACAGCGAGGACTCGGACTTCAGTCCTGGGGAAAAGGGACACCGGAAATACCGGGAATACAGCCCTCCCTACTCCTCCGTGAGTTCCCTCTGCATCTTTGCCTTTAGGCCTTTAAACTGTTTATTTTTCACCTCTCTGGGGTCTTTTTGAATGATTTTTTTAAAAAAATTAAATAATGATTTAATGGGGTTCCTCGTCTCCCTCGCTGACCTCTTTGCCTTTCCCAGTCCCACCAACAGTACTCATCCTCTCACGGCGGTCCCATGCCCAAGAAAAGCTACTCCAAGATGGAAAGCAAGAATTATGGGATGTATGAAGACTACGAGAATGAGGAGTACGGGCAGTACGAGGGGGAGGAGGAGGAGGAGATGGGGAAGGAAGATTATGATGATTTTGCCAAAGAGCTGAATCAATACCGGAGAGCCAAGGAGGGCTCCCACCGGGGACGAGGTACCGCTAAACCTTCCTTTTTTTATCACTGTATCTCATTACCCTCAGCTCGTTTAGCTCATTTGTGGCTAAATGAGGCCTGGCACGTGCCGGAAGCTTCGTGGAGGTGTTAGTTTGTGATGGGGGAAAAGTGCTTTATCCTCTTCTCCACCCCGAGGGGAAAGTTCAGATCCTTGTGGATAATCGGACGTTTTAAATAAGTGTTTTTCTAGCTGGTGTAGGTTGGTTTAAAATCCCATAAGTGGTTGAAAATGGATAAAATAAAACAAAAATCTTTATTTGAATGGAAAACCAAGTTGATTGATAAGGTAACGAGTCTGGTGTCGCGTGTGGAACACAGATCGATGTTCCCAATCTACAGCTGATGTGGCATTATCATTTGGCTTGTTAAAAATCCATTCTTCTAAAATATTAAAAACCTGATTCACTTAAAAACCAGTTTTTGAGGGGCTGGTCATCCCGTATTGGAAGATTATGATATATTTTTCCTTGCCTGGTGTATTTTGATGCTGTTTTTTGATGCTGAGAGGCGGAAGGCAGCAGAAAGCTGAGCCCATCCCCGTTCCTCCGCAGGCGGCCGTGGCCGAGGCAGAGGGTACCGAGGAAGAGGAGGCAGAGGAGGGATGAGAGGAGGCCGAGGCATGGGCCGGGGGAACCGCGGACGAGGCAGAGGCGACCACCCCGAGGAAGAGGAGGAAATGTATGAGGAAGAGATGGAAGTAAGTGCCGAGTTTCCAACCTGCTGGTGGGGAAACAAGAGAATCTTCGTTTTCAGCCCTTGGGGAATTGGGCTGCGCTTCCTTCCCCGCTCGTTAACAGCTGGGATCTCGTTTGCAGTATTGTGATAACGAGGAGCCCCTCTGCGACGATGACTACGATGACTACTCCAAGGAGCTGAATCAGTATCGGAGGAGCAAGGAGAACCGCGGCCGAGGTGAGCATACACACGGCCTGGACGAGCACACCATCTGCTGGATCAAGCACTGGTTGACTGGAAGGTCCCAAAGAGCGGTGCTCAATGGATTCACATCCAGCTGGTCACTAGTGGTGTGCCTCAGGGCTCAGTGCTGGGACCATTTCTATTTAATGTCTTTATTGATGATCTCGATAAGGACATAGGGTGTATCATCAGCGAGTTGGCAGATGACACCAAGTTAAGCAGGAGTGTTGACTCCCAGGAGGAGAGGGAAGCCCTACAGAGGGACCTGGATAGATTGGATCACTGGGCCAAGATCAACGGCATGAGTTTCAACAAGGGCAAGTGCCAGGTCCTGCACTTGGGCCACACCAACCCCCTGCAGCGCTACAGGCTGGGGGAAGTGTGGCTGGAGCTGCCTGGAGGAAAGAGACCTGGGGGTTCCAGTTGACAAACGGCTGAATATGAGCCCAGTGTGCCCGGGGGGGCAAGAAAGCCAATGGCATCCTGGCTTGTATCAAAAATAGTGTGACCAGCAGAAGTAGGGAGGTGATTGTGCCCCTGGACTCAGCACTGGGGAGGCCACACCTCGAGTATTGTGTCCAGTTTTGGGCACCTCAACACAAGAGAGATCTGGAGGTGCTGGAGCGAGTGCAGAGGAGGGCAACGAAGCTGGTGAAGGGGCTGGAAGACAAATCATATGAAGAGTGATTGAAGGAGCTGGGGCTGTTTAGTGTGAGGAAGAGGAGGCTGAGGGGAGACCTCATCACCCTCTACAACTACTTGAAAGGACACTGTAGAGAGGTTGGTGCTGGGCTCTTCTCACAGGTAATTAGTGACAGAACGAGAGGGAACGGCTTCAAGCTCCAACAGGGGAGGTTTAGATTGAACATTTAGGTTTAGATTGAACATTAGGAAGGAATTTTTCACAGAAAGAGTGGTCGGGCATTGGAGCAGGCTGCTCAGGGAGGTGGTTGAGTCCCCATCCCTGGCTGTGTTTAAGGGCCGTTTAGATGCAGTGCTGAGGGACATGGTGTAGGGGAGGACTTTGTAGAGTAGGGGAGATGGTTGGACTCGATGATCCCAAGGGTCTCTGCCAACCTCAATGATTCTATGATTTCTATGAGAGGGGGATAAGAAAATCCCTCCTTTCCCCTCTCTCACCCCTTTTAGGGAAGGAGGGAAATTAAAAAAACCTGGGGTGGGGTGTGGGTGTACGTTAAATTTCAGGTTTAAATCGTGGCCGTGGCCGTGGCCCCAGAGGAAGAGGAAATAAAGGCATGGGCAGAGGTCGAGGCCGAGGTGGAAACCGAAGCGGGATGGGGAAAGGAGGTGGAATGAACGACGACGACGATTATTACGACGAGGACATGGGAGTAAGTAGCCTTTTGTTTTCTAAATGGCTTGCTGCAGCACTGGGTGTCCCCCTTTGTCCCCCTCCCCCTCTGTAAATCCCGTCAGGCTTCAGAAAAATCCTTGGCAGGAGCAAAAAAACCGAACGGATCTTCCCCAGAATCCACAAAAATTGGATATTTTGTATTCTGCTCCTCTGCCAGCTCCCTCAAGCCGTGCTCAGGAGCTCAGCACGCTCCGTTTTCCTCCCTTTTACATCCCAAATCCCGGTGGTTTTTCCTCTCTGAGGTGTCTGCCCAGGAAATTTTTAATTTCTTTCAGGTGATTTCTTGCTTTGTATTTCAAATTCTTCCTCAACTGACATAATGTCCTTCCCGTAGGATGGAGGAGGTGGTGGGAATTACCGGCGGAACGACCACGACAAACCCCACCAGCAGTCGGATAAGAAAGGGAAAGTGATCTGCAAATACTTCGTGGAAGGACGATGTACCTGGGTAAGGGACTAATTCACAAATATTTATATAAATCTCTTTATACGCACGTGGAACTGTCGCTGAAGCGTAAAGTCCAGATTTTGACTGCTTTTGGGGCGGGATTGATGGCTGTAAAGAGCTTTTTTTGGGAAGCGGATGCAGCTCCCTGTCCCTTCTGGGTGTGTTTTGGGCTTTTGAGGAACACGTTGGTGCTTTAACACACTGGGATGTTGTTCCCCTCCCAGGGCGACCACTGCAATTTCAGTCATGACATTGAATTACCAAAGAAAAGGGAACTCTGCAAGTTCTACATCACCGGCTACTGCGCCAGGGCTGAGAACTGCCCTTACATGCACGATATCCTTTCGGGTTTGAGTCTTCAGGTGGCCTTATATTGGTCTAATTTCTCATGGATGCACATGGGGGTGTGAGGGAGGAGGAAAAAAAAGGCCATTTCTGGGCAACACAACCTCCACTCAAGAGGCAGTCCTCCCCGATCCTTCTTAACCTCACTTTTCCTCTTAAAAAAGTGAGGTTTGGGGCTGTTGAGCCTACGGAAAACACGGCAGAAAGGGAAAATAGAGTCTTTCTGTTGACGGTTTAATACCAGTGTCACAATGGTGAAAATCACAGAATCTTAGTGGTTGGAAGGGACCTCTGAGATCATCGAGTCCAACCACCAAAAAAAAAAAACAACAAAAAAAAACCACCACACCAAACAAATCCAAAACACACCACACCAAACGCCCACCAAAAACACCGCACCCACCAACTAAACCCCACACTCAACACCTCGCCATAAACCAATAACCTTGGGCACTAGAGCAGGCCCTGAAGAGCCATGTCTACACGTTTCTTAAATCCCTCCAGGGATGGTGACTCCACCACCTCCCTGGGCAGGCTGGTCCAGGGCCTGACCACTCTCTCAGTAAAGTAATTCTTTCTAATATCTAATCTAAATCTCCCCTGCCCCAACTTCAGACCATTTCCTCTGGTCTTGTCCTTCTCCTTGGGAGAAGAGGCCAACACCTGCCTCTCTACACCCTCCTTTCAGGTAGTTGTAGAGGGCAATGAGGTCTCCCCTCAGCCTCCTCTTCTCCAAACTCAACATGCCCAGTTCCCTCAGCCTCTCCTCATAGGACTTGTTCTCCAGACCCCTCCCCAGCTTGGTGGCTCTCCTCTGGACACGCTCCAGCACTTCAATGTCCTTCCTGTAGTGAGGGGCCCAAAACTGAACACAGTACTCGAGGTGAGGCCTCACCAGTGCCCAGTCCAGAGGCACGATGACTTCCCTACTCCTGCTGGCCACGCTATTCCTGATACAGGCCAGGATGCTGTTGGCCTTCTTGGCCACCTGGGCACACTGCTGGCTCATGTTCAGCCAGCTGTCCACCAACACCCCCAGGTCCTTTTCTGCTGGGCAGCTCCAGCCACTCTTCCCCAAGTCTGTAGCGTTGCCCGGGGTTGTTGTGACCAAAATGCAGGACCCAGCACTTGGCCTTATTAAACCTCATCCCATTGTCCTTGGCCCAATGATCCAACCTGTCTAGATCCCTCTGTAGAGCCTTCCGACCCTCAAGCAGATCAACACTCCCACCCAGTTTGGTGTCATCTGTAAATTTACTGAGGGTGAATCCACCAGTGGTGTCATCTGCAAATTTACTGAGGGTGAATCCACCATGTTTTGAAGTGAAAAGTGCCTCTAACCCCTCTGGCTGGAGGAACAACTCCCTTTTATGGTTTATTCTCCTTAATAAGCAGTACGGGATTTCCCGTGCAAGCTCTTCCACACCACGGGCAACTGCATCAACGGGGACGACTGCATGTTCTCCCATGATCCCCTCACAGAGGAGACACGGGAGCTTCTGGACAAGGTAAAGGGGAGCTTCATGCTCCTTTTTCCTTCCATGGAAGTAAATCCCGATGGTTCAAGGGGTTTATTTCCCTTTTGCAAGGCAATTCCGTGGATCAACTTTTCCTCCTTGATCTTAGATGCTGGCGGACGACGCGGAAGCCGGAGCGGAGGATGAGAAAGAAGTGGAAGAGCTGAAAAAACAAGGCATCAATCCTCTCCCCAAACCACCCCCAGGGGTGGGTTTGCTCCCCACACCCCCTCGTCCTCCTGGTCCTCCAGCTCCAACCTCTCCCAACGGGAGACCCATCCCGGGGGGGCCTCCCCCACCTCCGCCGCCGCCGCTGCCGCCCCCGGGGCCACAGATGCCACCACCGATGCACGAGCCGCTGTCGCCGCAGCAGCTGCAGCAGCAGCAGGACATGTACAAGAAGATCCCCTCCTTGTTCGAGATCGTCGTGCGCCCCACGGGGCAGCTGGCAGAGAAGCTGGGCGTGAGGTGGGTTGCAGGTTTTTGGCTCACTGAATTATTTCACTGAATTTTAGAGTTGGAAGGGACCATAGAGATCGTCTAGTCCAACTCCCCTGCTGAAGCAGGATTGCCTAGAGCTTGGCAGAGCATGTTCCTCAGGAGCATCCAGGGGGGTCTTGAACATCTCCAAGGAAGGGGACTCCACACCCTCCCTGGGCAGCCTGGTCCAGGGCTCTGCCACCCTCACCGTGAAGAAGTTTCTCCTCAGATTTGAGTGGAACCTCTTCTGGTCCAACTTGTGCCCGTTGCCCCTCGTCCTCTCACTGGGAACCACTGGAAAGAGTCTGGCTCCCTCCTCCTTCAACCCTCCCTTGAGATCCTTGTAGGCATTGAGAAGGTCTCCCCTCAGCCTTCTCTTCTCCAGACTAAAGAGTCCCAGCTCTCTCAGTCTCTCCTCATCAGGGAGATGCTCCAATCCTTGAATCATCTTTGTTGCCCTTCGCTGGACTCTTTCCAGTAGTTCCCTGTCCTTCTTGAACTGGGGAGCCCAGAACTGGGCCCAGTACTCCAGTTGTGGCCTCCCCAGTGCAGAGCAGAGGGGGAGAATGACTTCCCTTGACCTGCTGGCCACACTCTTCCCTCTGCAACCCAAGATACCATTGGCCTTCCTGGCCTCAAGAGCACACTGCTTGCTCATTGTCATTTTACTGTCCACCAGGACCCCTAGATCTTTCTCTTCAGTAGTTGCCTCCAGCAGGTCCACCCCTAACCTGTACTGGTACCTGACATTCTTCTTCCCCAGGTGCAGGACCCTACACTTTTCCCTGTTGAACCTCATGAGGTTCTTCCTTGCCCAGCTCTCCAGCCTGTCCAAGTCTTGCTGGATGGTGGCCCAGCCCTCCGGGGTGTCAGCCACCCCTCCCAGTTTGGTATCATCAGCAAACTTGCTGAGGATACACTCTGTCCCCTCAACCCAGGCTCAACCCAGACAAAAGGATGTAAAAAAGAGATTTCTCCCCATTTTGGGGGTCTGATGCTCAGTCAGACACTGGGTCCATCCCTCCCTTCCTCCAGAAGTGGGTCCCTCCCAAAGTGGCTCCATCCCCCCAATAGTGGGTCTGTCCCTCCAGCAGCAGAAACTGTGTGTTAAAGCAGATTTTCTCCTTCTTCTCTCTTTCAGACACCCAGGTCCACCACCCCCCAGGTTCCCTGGGCCTGGAGGCCCCCCAGGACCCATGCCCGGCCCCATGCACCCGGACATGCACCCGGACATGCACCCGGACATGCACCCTGACATGCACCCAGACATGCACCCCGATATGCACCCAGACATGCACCCAGACATGCACCCGGACATGCCTATGGGTCCAGGAATGAATCCTGGGCCCCCCATGGGGCCCGGGCCCCCCATGATGCCCTACGGCCCGGATGATTCCCCCCATTCTGGCATGATGCCCCCCGGCCCACCCCCCCAAGGATTCTATGATAATTTTTACCAGCAGCAAGAGGGGCTGGAGATGGATCACGGCATGATGGGAGACCCAGGTACGTCCCCAGGATCCTTTGGGATCCACTTTTGGGTACACCCCAGGATCCCCAGCGTGGGGGGGGAGGGGAGAATGGAAAAATTGCTATTTTTCTTTTAACACGTGTGATGATTTTTTTCCTTCTTCCTCGGCAGAAGACTATGGTGGTTACGAGGACATGGAAGGGCCTCCAGGAGAGCACATGTTCCCGGATCCATCCCTGGATCCTGACTCTCTGTGTGAAGGAGGCCCCCCCGGATTAACCAAACCCCAGGGCAACATCCCCGACTTCATGCCCTCGGCACAAAGAGCCCTTTATTTGCGAATCCAACAGAAACAGCAAGAGGAAGAGGAGAGAGCCCGGAGACTGGCAGAGAGCAATAAGCAGGAACGCGAAAATGAGGAAGGCAAGTGGCAAAATACGATGTATTTTGGTCAAAACCACCCGTGAGGCGGGGGGCAACTTGGATTTCTTTTGGTTCCCCCCCGGCATCTAACCAAAAATAGGGGAGAAATGGGGGTGTCGGGGAGGAATTCTGCAGGGAATGGGGGGTGCTGGGTGCCTGGAAGAGAATCCCAGAATCCCCAGCATCAAAAGAGTTGAAAAACTGGGAAGAGCTGCCCCAGAAGGTGCAGGAGACGGGGTTACTGGTTTGATGTGGTCAAACTGGAGTCTGCTGGGGGCAGGAGGAAGATGAAGGGAGGGATGTGCTGGGCATTTGGGGGTGGGGGGGAAACAAGGCCAGGGCTGTCACAGATGCCCCCCCTGTTTGGGCCCAATGGGGGTATTTGAGCAGCGTTGAGTTGAGAGGTGACATTTTGGGGACCTTCTCCTCCGCGTCCCCCGCATGGGGCGGGGGGCAACTTGGATTTCTTTTGGTTCCCCCCCGGCATCTAACCAAAAATAGGGGAGAAATGGGGGTGTCGGGGAGGAATTCTGCAGGGAATGGGGGGTGCTGGGTGCCTGGAAGAGAATCCCAGAATCCCCAGCATCAAAAGAGTTGAAAAACTGGGAAGAGCTGCCCCAGAAGGTGCAGGAGACGGGGTTACTGGTTTGATGTGGTCAAACTGGAGTCTGCTGGGGGCAGGAGGAAGATGAAGGGAGGGATGTGCTGGGCATTTGGGGGTGGGGGGGAAACAAGGCCAGGGCTGTCACAGATGCCCCCCCTGTTTGGGCCCAGTGGGGGTATTTGAGCAGCGTTGAGTTGAGAGGTGACATGGGGTTACTGGTTTGATGTGGTCAAACTGGAATCTGCTGGGGGCAGGAGGAAGATGAAGGGAGGGATGTGCTGGGCATTTGGGGGTGGGGGGGAAACAAGGCCAGGGCTGTCACAGATGCCCCCCCTGTTTGGGCCCAATGGGGGTATTTGAGCAGCGTTGAGTTGAGAGGTGACATTTTGGGGACCTTCTCCTCCGCGTCCCCCGCATGGGGCGGGGGGCAACTTGGATTTCTTTTGGTTCCCCCCCGGCATCTAACCAAAAATAGGGGAGAAATGGGGGTGTCGGGGAGGAATTCTGCAGGGAATGGGGGGTGCTGGGTGCCTGGAAGAGAATCCCAGAATCCCCAGCATCAAAAGAGTTGAAAAACTGGGAAGAGCTGCCCCAGAAGGTGCAGGAGACGGGGTTACTGGTTTGATGTGGTCAAACTGGAGTCTGCTGGGGGCAGGAGGAAGATGAAGGGAGGGATGTGCTGGGCATTTGGGGGTGGGGGGGAAACAAGGCCAGGGCTGTCACAGATGCCCCCCCTGTTTGGGCCCAATGGGGGTATTTGAGCAGCGTTGAGTTGAGAGGTGACATTTTGGGGACCTTCTCTTCCACGTCCCCTCTGGATGGTGCTTTAATTGCCTTTTATCACCTTTTTTTTTCCTCCTCCTCTTCTTCCTCCCTCCCAGGAGATCCCGGGAACTGGTATTCCAGTGACGAAGACGAGGGCGGGAGCAGCGTCACCTCCATCTTGAAAACTTTACGGCAACAAAGCTCGGGCCGACCTCACCCCCAACCCCCCCACGGCGAAATGGGGGGCCCTCCCCCCGCTGTCAGTGACCCCCGCCTGCAGAAATCCCAGGGGGGGGCTGTGGGCAGCGGGCGACCC